TACTTTCCCTATTTACTACTATAGTATAAAAATTTCCCCTTAATATAATATAGTGAGTTGTTAAGAACTCTTGGTAAATATATTTTAATGGTTTTGTAGAATTTTATTGTTTGAAATACTGTATTTTATTTAACTGTTCCCCCAAAGTTGGGCTTTTTATTTATTTTGATTTCCAGGTTTTGTCAATTGAAAATAATGATCTAACATTTTTTCTGTTTTATTGCTGTGTATGTATTTTTATTCATTTCCGAAGGATTAATCAAATCTTAGAAGTAGAATTACTGGATGAATGGATATCAACATTTTTGGCCATTTGATGCATGTGTGATAAACAATGCTTTCCTGAAAGATTGTGCAGTTCATAATCTCATCACTAGACTGTCCAGCTATTTGTTTCATTTTAACATTATGATTTTTTGATTCTTTCAGTTACAGAGGCAAAAAAGAAAGTATCTCACTTTTTGTACTCACATTTCTTTGCTGCTTATTGAGGGCGGACATTTTTTTTAGTTGGTTGTTACCATTTCTCTTTGAAATGACCATTTGTATTTATTGTTCATTTATCTATTAGGATCTTAGTGTTTTGTTTTATTTAAATTTCTGTTAGCTTTTTATTATATTAATTTTTAGTCATATTTATGTTTTTTTAGGACTGTAATATATATATTTCATATTTAAATCTATTGATGTTTTCCTTTGTAATTTTTCCCCATTGCTTTAAGTTTAGTAAGTGCTTTTTAATCCAAAGGCTGGAGAGCTATTCACCAAGGTTTTTTTCCCCCCCTTTCTCTTTATGGGTTGATTCTCTTCTTTTTAATTAATTTTGACCTATACAGTATGGAGTTTAGTTTGTAGTATGATATAGTTTGATATAGTATGATACTAAGTTTGGGTGGATTTTGTTCCCTAATACGTAACTCATCTCGTTTCTTTTGTTTCTCCCATTTTGTGATGCTTCCCTTATCACACAGTCCGTTTTTATCACAGTAGGCTGCCAGGATAAGGTGGTATTTTGAAATTGCCTTCTCAGTCTTTTTTTCCTTTCTTGACCTATTCTTTTGAGGATTTGCTCATTTGGAACTTTTTATGTACTACCCTGCTTCTTTTTTTGGCTCTATTTTTTTCTCTTCTGTTTTTAATTTTTATCTCTGCACTTTTCATAATTTTCAAAAAATTAATCCACATGTGAGTGCTTCAAGGCAGCTGCCCTGTTACATCCATCATTGTATTCCCTGGAGCCCTTATTGAATTTTTTTAAATTATAAAATTAAAACAAGCTTTTATAGAAAATTTGGGAGATAAGGAAAGCACAAAGAAAAAAATAAATTATTCTTAGTATCACCACTCAAAGATATCTTGGTATTGTTAAACATTATGCTATATAGAATTTAATAGAAACTCTATACTATATGTAGTATTTTATGTACCGGTATGTATAAATATACATATATGTGAAGCATTCATATGTGTATGTATATATTTCATTTTTACTGAAGGGGAGCATCCTCAATTTACTATTTTGTTTTGTGCTTTTTACTTATAATAATTGCATGTCTTCTAAATATTCCTGTTACTTAAGTAAAAATTTTAACTCATTATTTGACTATACACTAAATAAGTTATATGAAAGACTATGCTATCTTTTCAAAAGTGATTGAATTTTGGAGTGATGATATGGACGTGATAATATTGTTACCTCTGTTAAGATGCGTGCGTGTGCTGAAAGTTGTGTCAGCAACTACAGAATTGTTTTGTGAAAGCTGAATGAGTAAAATCAAAGAAGACAAATAGGTGGCACCTCAGTTTTCTAGAGAGCTTAAATGGTTTGGGCCACTTGATGTCTGGTGAAGTGGGTAGCATTACCGTTTGGGGATGAATCCTTAGCTATAGATGATGAATCAGAAGAAAGAAAGAATTCAAAATTTCAAGGGCAGGAGAAATTAGTTAGATGCCAAATCAAATTTGTGCGGTTGATGGCCATAACGCCGGTGCACTTGGAAGACAAAGCGGGTGGACCTGGATTCCAACTGGATATTACCAAGAGTAGCTTAAGCCATGTCAACCGAAGATGAGAGTATAAAGTAAGCGGGGAGGAAAAGCTGTGACAAACAAGAGGCTGGTTAATAGAGAAGTGGCTCTGGACCCATGAGGGTGATGGCAGTAAATACCTGGAAAGTACAGGATAGCTCTTTAAATTTGCCACTTCACGTGGATGCAACCATATGACCCATAGTTTTAAATCACTGCAGAGCTGAACAGCATAACCTTTATTTAGGGTAGAGTCCTCAGATGTATGTGATTTGCATCCCTAAATTCTCACTCTTGAGTAATGTTTAGTTAAATATTCAAGATGTCTTTGTTGGACTACAGTGGGGAAGGGAGAGGAAGGGAATGCTTCCAGAGAATTTTGAGAAGTGGTGCAACTGTCAGGACTTCAGGGTGTTGTCTTTGGGGGAGAATATCACTTCATTCTCACTCTTTATGGAGGCTCAGAAGAGACACCCAGAGATCATTTGACAAACTATGTGGTAGCCACCCCAGTGTGGTTGGAGGCAGAAGCTCCAGTGGGTTGAGGTGAACATCCAGGCTGTTGTGCAACCAGGAGAAGGAGCAGATCAAGACCCCCCAAAACAAGTTTGCCTCCTTCATCGACAAGGTGCGGAGCCTGGAGCAGCAGAACAAGATTCTGGAGACCAAGTGGAAACCCCTGCAGCAGCAGAAGATGACTTGCAGCAACATGGACAACATGTTCGAGAGCTACATCAACAACTGTTGGCGGCAGCTGGACACGTTGGCCCAGGAGAAACTGAAGCTGGAGTTGGAGTTTGGCAACATGCAGGGGCTGGTGGAAGACTTGAAGAATAAGTACGAGGACAAGATCAATAAGCGCACAGAAATGGAGAATGAATTTGTCCTCATTAGGAAGGATATGGATGAAGCTTCCATGAATAAGGTAGAGCTGGAGTCCCGCCTGGAAGGGCTGACTGATGAGATCAACTTCTACAGGCAGCTGCATGCAGAGGAGATCCGTGCGCTGCAGACCCAGATCTCCCACATGTCTGTGTGCTGTTTATGGACAACAACCACTCCCTGGACCTGGACGGCATCACTGCTGAGGTCAAGGTCCAGTACGAGGAGATCGCCAACCACAGCAGGGCTGAGGCTGACATCATGAACCAGATCAAGTCCCTTCGGTTATCCCTGCAGATGTTAGCTGGGAAGCAATGGGATGACCTGCGTTGCACGAAGACGGAGATTTCTGAGATGAACTGGAACATCAGCTGACTATAGGATGAGAGCGAGGCTCTCAAAGGCCAGAAGGCTTCCCTGGAGGCTGCCATTACTGATGCTGAGCAGTGTGGGGAGCTGGCCCTCAAGGATGCTCAGGTCAAGGTTGCTGTGTTGGAGGTCGCTGAGAACCGCCAAGCAGGACATGGCCCGGCAGATGCATGAGCACCAGGAGCTCATGAATGTCAAGCTGGCCCTTGATGTGGAGATTGCCACCTACAGGCAGCTACTGGAGGGCAAGGAGAGCCAGTTGGAGACTGGGATGCAAAACATGAGTATCCATACCAAGACTACCAGCAGCTACTCAGGTGGGCTGAGCCCGGCCTATGGGAACATCACAAGCCCTGGTTTCAACTACGGCCTGAACTTCCGGTCCAACTTCAGCTCTGACAGGGGCTCTGACTCCTTCAGCTGCACCAGCACCAGCTCCTCCAAGACCGTGGTTGTGAAGAAGATAGAGACTCTAAACAGCAAGCTGGTGTCTGAGTCATATGATGTCCTGCCCAAGTAAAAGGCTAGGCTACCGAGGTCCCTCTTGGCCTCCAACCCTGTGGGAAAGGAGCTGAGCAAGGGAGCGTTGGGCACAGGAGACATCCCAGTCCTCAGCCCACCCTTGGGGGAAGAGTCTGCTGCCTAGAGGACTGCCTGTTACTCATGCCCCCAACTAAAAGCTAAGTCAAGTGTTTTTTCCAAAATAAAGTCTCAACTGGCTCTTGCCAACCCTAAAAAAAAAAAGAAACAAGCAAAATGTTTATCTCTTCATGAGTGGTACTGGATGTAAACCACTTATAAGAGCAGTACTGAGTTTTCCACGCTGAGCGAGTGGCAAGGCTTGCTTGCTAGCTAAATGGTTCCCTCCTGCACTCTGGCTTTGCAGCTCACGCTCTTACTGCTTCCTTAGGAGAACGACCACTCTCACCTGTGTTATGGGCTTTAGGGGTCTCTTGAAAGAGTTAACATTTCAGATGTTAAATTCCTGAGTACCGAGAGATTACTGTAATACTTAGAATGTGGGAGAGAGGCGGTAGAAGAGGGTAAAAGAGGATCAAATAGTATATGGGATAGAAGGACAATTGACTTTGGGTGGTGAACACACAATGCAATATACAGATGATGTATTATAGAATTGTACATACACTTGAAACCTATATAATTTTACTAACCAGTGTCACTCCAATAAAATTAATAAAAAAAAGAGGAAGGAGAATTAGGAGTGTCATGAATAGTTCTGCTTATAGTTTATGTTTATTGTACATACTGTTTACTGTTACTTCCCTATGCTGTTATTTTTTTTCCTACCAATGCTTTAGTTACTTTTTCATAGTATTTTCCAAATGTGTCTTTTTCTATGATTTTTTTCTTAAATAGACTTAGGTTCTTTTTCAAATTAAATAATAGAGGTTTAACATTTTTATTTTGATATCAGCATTATCCTCTGATTTTCATGACACTTGACTTAGATTTTATACCTGAAAACATAAACCTATTTTCCTTAAGACTTTTTATTTAAAACTTTAGAAAGCTCCTTTAGAAGAATAATATTTATTGTTTCAAAGAAGCCCTTTTCTGAAAGTCAATGAGTTCTTGTTTTTCTTTAAAACATTTTTGCTGATAAATTTAAGTAAACTTGATAAATATAATGCTGTTATTTAAAAAAATGTTAACAGTGATTAAAAATTATAATTTATACTGTTTTCTTTGATTCTTATTAGGTAAAAAAGCTCCAGTTTTATTTAGTAAAGAAATGATTGAGTCGATGAAGGAAGGCTCAGTTGTTGTGGATTTAGCTGCGGAGGCTGGTGGAAACTTTCAAACCACTAAGCCAGGGGAGCTGTATGTTCATAAGGTATATCAAAAAGCTTCTTCTATCTACACACCAACTCCCATACCTTTAGTGATTTGTGCAAGAGTGTTTATTCCTTTAAATATTTAGAGAAACTGAGGCATGAAATTTTTAGAAATAAAAATAGCTCCTTTTTTAAAAGCTCCTTTTGAAATACGTATTTGTTTGTGAGTATGTGTATATATTTATAAAGATACAGAATTTCAAAACTTAGCCTAGACTCTGACTGAAAATTGTCCTAGGAAGAATGTGAGCATTTGATAATAGATCTTTCTGACTGTATTTTTAATCATTTAGGGAATTACTCACATAGGCTACACCGACCTTCCCAGCCGAATGGCCACTCAGGCCAGCACCCTCTATTCCAACAACATCACTAAGCTCCTGAAGGCCATCAGCCCTGACAAAGACAATTTTCATTTTGAAGTGAAAGATGACTTTGACTTTGGTACAATGGGTCATGTCATTAGAGGAACTGTAGTGATGAAGGTAAGTAAAGAGATCTGTTCCTTCCTGTGTTTTCATTTCAAATTTATTTTAGGATTTCTGTTAATGGAAGAATCCTATTTAGAATTGGGATATATTCCAATAAAGTATTGATGTGCTGGGTTTATGTCAATAAAAATCACTTAAAATGCAGAATGATTTAAATAAAAATATTCCAAAGACTTATATACACAACTAAAAATGTATATATTTATTATATGACTCCCCTAAAATATGCATTGCTTTAGAAAAACAGAAACGAATAAAGCAAAACATGAGAATTGAATAAAGTAAAAAATGTTTCTCCAACCTATCTGCTTTTAAGGGTTTGATCTGTTGTCTTCCATACGTCTTCCATGCACATATAAATTATAATATCTGTGCATGTATGTGTAATACAAACATCATATATTTATATAAAATAAGTTATAAATTATATGAATTTATATACAATTATTTTTAAACGCATCTTTTTCCCCATCATGATAGCTATCTTCTGTGTTTTTGAAACACTGGATTGACCTTAAAAAAATACTATTCTTCTAATTTTTGTTAGGATGGTGATGTGATTTTCCCTGCTCCCACACCAAAAAATATTCCTCAAGATGCCCCAGCAAAACAGAAGACAGTGGCTGAGCTGGAAGCTGAAAAAGCAGCTACTATTTCACCCTTCAGGAGGACGATGACAACGGCTTCTGCATATACAGCAGGTGAGAATGACATTTAGCAGGATTAGTCCTGATTATTTGAATTTTGAAAGTAACGTATTAATTGTCAAAGTCAACAAATGAAATGCTGTTGTCCTTCTTTGGAGTCTGTTAGGAATTGGAACTGATAGAAGCAGTTTTTTTTCATAAACATGGTACCTGTCCCACCTCTGTGGAATTGGAGAGTGTATTGATTGCCTACCCCAAGAGATAGAGGCACTGTGCTAAATATGGGAATGAATGTGTATGAAATAATATGCAGGCTATTAATACTTTAAAATATATTTTAATATTTTTATCTACATCAAATATATTGAGTAGTGGTGTATGTCAGATTGTATTGGTGTTAAGTGAATATAAATATGGTTATTTGTTTATTTTGTGGTTTATAAAACATCAGTTGTGATTATCTGCACAGCTGGGTAAGACTGCGGAATCAAATGTTTACACTGAAGAATAAGTACTACAATACAGGTAGAGCCTTTGAACGTTTGACTAA